TTAATGCAAAATCTAATTTTTCTGCTTTAGTGCTGCAACAAGGTTTTATTAATAATAAATTATTATACCTTTTGTTTTACTACAGCATCGGTAAGCTTCCTGTGCACAGATTATTAAGGGTGCTTGTTTCAGCTGTGAGATTAGACGATAGGATCAATGAAAAAATAAGTTGTCACACACTCCATGGAAACTTTCAGAGAATCCACAAATAGTGGCTTTCAAATGGTTTTGTTACTTTTTGCAAGTTTAGAAAAGAAGCAGATGAGACAGCATGTCTGATAATTTAGTTTTTCATCTGATAATATTAGAACATGTCAGTAATGTCTGAGGGGCTTTTATAAACACCGTATAACTAACACTACTGGAGAGGGCATGAATTACACAGAGGCTTCTGGGGAGCCCAGTTATTTGGGGGGGGGGGGGGGGGCATTTTGCCTTGGCCCCCAAAATGTCTTGAAACGGCCCTGGGTGTGTGACTGAGTTTTGAAGGTGATCTGAATTGTATCAGATGTGTAAATATGACATGTGTATAACTTATTGTTTTTTACTGGTAAAAACGTGTAGTTTACCTACATTTGACTTTTCAACACTTTGTTGTGTTTTCTTGTTTTAATTTAACTATTTTCCTGTCCTGTCTGTCTCTCATCTTCCTGCATCTCCTCTTAATTGTCCAGAAAATCTGTTGCCTGGATTCTTACCTTTTCATCTCATCAGTTACTTTTGAGCAGATCAAAGGGATCTCCTGACCGAAAAGCGCAGAGCGGGTTTTCGATGCTGCGTGAGGTGACATCACCACAGCACAGGTGATGAGCTCCGCAGTAGCGCGCTTCAGGCACAAATAAGACAGAAAATAGAGAACATGTGCAGACATGAACGATCGTGTGCTAATTATAGTTTTTTGGTTGCGCCACTTTGAGAATGGACCGTGCGCTGGAAGCAGCTGCCTGGATCGCTGCGCAACAATGCGGAACCGGTTCGCAGCAGCGCAAGTCTGCCGGCTCTCCCTCGCGCTGATCTGCCGGTACCGGCTCTCCCTCACGCTGATCTGCCGGCTCTCCCTCGCGCTGATCTGCGGCTCTCCCTCGCGCTGATCTGCGGCTCTCCCTCGCGATGATCTGCCGGCTCTCCCTCGCGCTGATCTGCGGCTCTCCCTCGCGCTGATCTGCGGCTCTCCCTCGCGCTGATCTGCCGGTACCGGCTCTCCCTCACGCTGATCTGCGGCTCTCCCTCGCGCTGATCTGCCGGTACCGGCTCTCCCTCACGCTGATCTGCGGCTCTCCCTCGCGCTGATCTACGGCTCTCCCTCGCGCTGATCTGCGGCTCTCCCTCGCGCTGATCTGCCGGTACCGGCTCTCCCTCACGCTGATCTGCGGCTCTCCCTTGCGCTGATCTGCGGCTCTCCCTCGCGCTGATCTGCGGCTCTCCCTCGCGCTGATCTGCCGGCTCTCCCTCGCGCTGATCTGCCGGCTCTCCCTCGCGCTGATCTGCGGCTCTCCCTCGCGCTGATCTGCCGGCTCTCCCTCGCGCTGATCTGCGGCTCTCCCTCGCGCTGATCTGACTTGCTCTGGTCTGCGCGCAACGGCGGGCGGGAAGGGGGGGGGCGCTTTTGGAAGAGTTGTGCGACACAACGAATCGATGACGCAATTCGTTGCCAACGCTTTTAGTAATCGATTTTCATCGAATTTATCGATTCGTTGTTGCAGCCCTACTTCACAGTAAACAAATGCCTGTGCAAAAAATAAGTAAACAACCTGAGCTGATTTTCCCCTCGTGTGAGAATCTGCTAGCCTGCAAGCCAGACAAAAACTAGGAGGATAACGCTGCGAGCGGCTGCGGCCCAAACAGAACCAGAACCGCTCACGGCGCAAACAGCTCGCCGGCTGTTTCCCTATAAACACACGTCCGTTTTAATTTCTACACTTTTTTTTCTCACACTAACAAGGATTGCCAAAAGCATGTTTGCTGTGGTTTTGTCAAATTATACTGATCACAAAACATTTATTTACTTTCTTTCGTTTTCCTCCGCCACTCATAAATACCCGTGTCCTCCTGCAGCGATCCCGAGGGACAACAGACATCAATAACACAATAGAAAGTCCGACATATTGTGTAAAAACTGCTATTTTTTTTAGCACATTTTAAGTCTGACGTGTTGCTACCAGACGTACGGTGTGAGCTGAAACTGAGTGCTACAAACGAAAAAGTCGCACAGTGTCCGCAGAATATATAGAAAAACAGGCTAAAAAGCATTATCTTGTAGAGGCTCTGAGTCCGCTTGCAGAAGTGACATTTACAGGTGCTGCAGCATGGAGGATGTGGTGTTGTGGTAGGCTAAATCCATTTTACAGTATTTATACTGGACTACGTTTTCCGCCTTACGACGTGAAAAATGGTCCCACACCTTTGACATTTTCTGTCTTTTTCGCACTCCACCGGGGTTCAAGTTATTAAGAGAAAGTTAAGTTATATTCGCTACTCGCGTGTGCATTCAGTCCAGTGGGCATGTGCGTCACTTATTTCGGTCCGGGTGAAACATGACCCCGGGCGATTGCAAAGCCATGAATTAATTGAATATGAATTAAACGAATCCTCGAGGCAGAGAATTTGACTCGAGGATTTTTTGTACTCGAATTATTCGAGGTACTCGAGGAATCGTTTCAGCTCTAATATATATAGTTTTTTTTATTTTAGGGGTGTAACGGTTCACTTGCATACCATTTCGGTTTATTTTTTCCATTCCTAGGCGAGTTTCCGCACGGTCGCTGTATTGCGCGACGCATGATGGCTGCATTCTCCGTTTAAAAAATTTGATCTGCAAATTCTGATCAACGCCTTTCTGTAGGGATGTGTATTGGTGAAATTTTGACGATACGATACGAATCGTGATACAGGGGAGATGATACAATGTAATGCGTATATTCAGTCAGATGACATTAGCAATTTTTTAGACTGAATTTATTGTAGGAAAATTCAATAAACAGTCCAAACTGATGCGTGACATGTTTAAAATGAGGTACCTAAACCATAATAGAGGGATTTCCATTTCAATGGTGGAAAGAAAACCCACCGTACACTGCTGCCAACTAGTGGTCGGCATTTGAATTGCACCAAAAGAAAAGAAAATACACAAATGTTTGCATTTAAATTCTTCCAAAAATTAGATACATGGCCTTTGAATTTTGATATAATATCAGGATATATTGCAATTTCAATATTTTCTTACATTCCTTTGTGACAATGAGCCCATCATTATTAGGGGCTCTGCACACGGGAGGCAAAATCGCCTCTCCTCCATTCATTTTCAATGACACGTGCGATAATCGTGGGTCTCCCTCCTACTAAGCGAAACGTGAAAAACGTGCATGTGAAATTTTGCACTCATGCACGTGTCGTGCACAGGCGACCCAGCAACGCGATCCCAGAAAGTTGAAATAGTTCCAACTTTTCATCGCTGTCGCTCGGACGAGGACCAATCAATGGAGGTTTCACTCACAGACCAATGAGCGGACAGGAAGTTCCATGCATCTCCGAGCAAACATGAAGGAGAAGTTGATTATTATTATGTTTTATATAGTAAAATCAGAAGTAAGATTTCACATAACTCTAGCAGCACCTTGTGAAACATCATATCTACTGCTTTTTTAACTTTGAACCGCTTAAAAAACCTTAATTCCCTCCAACCTGACACAGCCAAACAAAACAACGGAAGTTTCGATTTCGCCATGGAACAGAACGCGCCGACGGCTTTACCGCTGGCAGCTGCCGCGGATCACCTCCCGTGTGTCAGGTAATAAAAGCGACAGCGACAAATTTTGCTGATGGTGGTCGTTTGACGCCGCCCGTGTGCAGAGCCCCTTAGATGAGTCAGTCACATTCATTAACCTCAGACTTTAGTTTTTGTCGCTTTCTCTATTGTGCATTAGAGGCTAACATTAGTATATGTTAAGTTACCATCGTTAGTTTTTTAAAAGGCTTAGGTGGGTGCTAAGAAAGAGCCAATAAAACTGGTTCCATGAAAGTCATCAACACTGTTCCTGCTGTGCAGATGAACAAAAGAGGGGGGGGGGCACTTCCACTAATAGTTACAAGAACTTTGAAAAGGTTCCTGTGGTCCAAAAGCACCCAATGAGTAAGCATCAGACTGATAACATCTACGCTCCATTGTAAGCACACACCTTGCCCCAACAAAAGAACATGCAAGTAGCTTTATTACAATGAAACAGAGCTCTCTACACCCCACCCAGCAACAGAACCTCTTGTCTTTTATCTTACCCTTGAATATTTTATCTTTCTTCGACTAGTGAAAGATTTAATACCCCTCTAAAACAAAATGCAGCATATAGAGGTTTGTCTAAATATATCGAAGCTGGACTAAAAATGGACCAAAAGTACCAATAAAATAAATAAAAGTACATTTAGTCGGGAGTATGCTACGGCCGTTTTGCTGATACAAAGTTACAAAGATGCCTTGAAACTTGCTTTAAGTTTTCTTACAAAAGTAGACAGCTCTAGGTGAAAATGAGTTATGTGAAAGAAAAACCTAGGGTGTGATTTTGTAGGACAAGGGAAAAGACTTTTTCACAGAGTAAGCAGAAGAGATAAATTGGGCTGTTCCCACCAACCACCGTGCTCTGCCTTTGTCTTTAAATGATTGAATGGCAACAGCTGAGAAGGTGAGGGAAGGAACACCTGTGAGGCCAAGATGAGGGAGTGTAGGGGAGAGGACGCTTGATCTACATAACAACAAACAAGTCTGAACTATTACTTGTAAACTATATAGTAAACTGAGAAGTGAAACTTAAATCATGGAGATTAGAAAAAGTATTTCTATTACAACTAAAAAGCAGCTAAAGAAAGAAAAAAAAGGTAGTGAAACTTACTAATGGTTCAAACAGATTGATTTTAAGAAATTCACAAAGGTCTATCATAAAACAATAAGTTCACGATTTCTCACTACCTACAATTAAAAAAGGCAATGAAACAAATTCTTCCTTTCTTACCAGGACCTCCAAACTGACTGCTGGCAAGAGTAGTTGGCCCATTTTTACCATTTGAAACTGGAGGTTCAAACATCTGAAAAAAAAAGAGGAATTGATTAAATGTGTAAATGTGCTCTTCATTTACATATTTAGAAAATAATTTGTAAATCTTTAATCTTGTTTAACCAACAGTTACAGAGAACATGAAGCAATTTGTTCAGTCCAGCTCTTGCTTTGGAACAAACTCCCCATTAACTATAACTGTCAATCATTCATGGCTCAACCTCACTGACAACAGCTGCAATTAAAGTCACAATAATTTGTCGATCTCTGAACATCGGTAGAATTAATGACGGGCAGTCATTGGAGAAATCTTACCGCGCTAAAATCCAGCAAGTCGCTGAGCTCCTTGTCTGTCACCACTGCAGCCATTATCTGCTGCTGTTCACTGGCCCTTTCAGTCTCAGCAACAGACTGCAAGTAGAAGTAGAGAAAGTTCAGAATTATTTGGTGCGATGACAAGCAACAAGGCACCATGTTTTAATTTGGTGAAGATCCAAACGTTAAGTTCTTATAAATGAACAAACAGCTTTGTAGAGCTCAACAACCAAACTTTCTTTTTTCTTTTTATTGAAGTGTTTTATTCTATAATTTTGACAGTAATGCAATAACTTCTATTTCTATTGAAAAACTGTTAATGTTACAAATTAGTCACTCAATAATGTTTTATTTGTAGTACACAGAACATTTGTTTTGTATGAAATCTTAAAGTCACACACTTTGAATTTTTTTTTTCTAAAATAATAGTGAGCGATGTCATTTAAGATCACAGATAACCTAAACAATCATTAAACTATTTCATGGGGTTTTTTTCTGTCCACAAAACTGACGAACATGTATTTCTAATCATGCTGGCCTGTTATATTGGTGTTCTTAATGCATAATATTAGGTGACTTCTGAACAGCTAAAAGAGGAGCTTTAGTGAAAAATAAAAGTGTCTGAATGCTCTTGTAACATTGCACAACCTCTCCCCAAGAGACAATATGCACTGATTCTAGGGCTACCACTATTAGTTGACTATTTATATAGTCGTTTGTCGCAGCCCTAACTGATAGTTTTGGATTTAAATTGAGTAACTGCAGAAGAGCGCAAAGCACAATGAATCAAAAGTCCCCTTTGACAAATAATAAAAATAACATCACACACATCATTTCAAAACAACAAAAACATGATTTGACAAAACACCAGATTTGCACGGTAACAACTTCAGTGATGATAACTCTCCACATTACAGGAGAAATTATGGTCATTTACAAGTTTGAAGCAAAATTCAGGTGTTCCATTGATGTAAGAGAGCTTTGAAAATAAACAAGTAAACTGTATTTTTTATTTGGCTGAACCCACAGTAAAGATGTGTTCTTGCTCTGAAAAAAGTGAATAATTGGAGATGACTATCCTTTTTATTTTTAATAGTTATTAATGGGAGACTAGGCAGTTCTGGCTTGTTTTAGCACCCCCTAGTGCCTGTTTGTAGAACAGAAAGCAAAACTTATCTCCTCGCTGTGCGTTATTTTTAACACCTTAATCTAGGGCTATTCAATTCCAGGCATCGAGGGCCGGTAACCAGCACGTAGTGGTTTCTCTGGTCCAACACACTAGACTCAGTGGTTGAATCACCTGTGCAGCCACTCATCGGGCTCTGCAGAAGCCTGTTAATCACCTACTAATTGAATTCAGGTGTGCAGAAGCAGGGTTAAAACTGAAATGTGCTGGATACCGGCCCACGAGGCCCGGAATTGAAGAACCCTAACAGCTGAAACATCTCCCAGCCTTCCTTAGTGTCTACAGGCGTGATTCATCACTAAATAAAACAAATCAGCTGTATTCATAAACCAGACTCTAGCGGCAGTAGGCTTGGGCGGTATTACTGTAAACAGCCGGTGTTAAAAAATAGCAGCAGTGTCCTTTCCAATTCCGTCATGAAAAAAACTGTGTACGTAGGAGACAAGGATTTAAAAAATAAATAATTAAATAAAATAAAGTAATTTAATGTATAAAACAGAAGCGAGGTTGAATTTTCTTTGTTTTACTTAGTTTAAAATGTTTTGTCCAACTTTTAGAGACTTTTCAGAAAGACATTACGTAACAGCGTGAAGGATGGCACGCTGAGAAAAACAGCAGCTCGCGCTCCAGCTGACTTGGTGTCTAAAAACAACACAACTTCTGCAGTTTGGGAGTATTTCTGGTTCGAAACTCTGATGTAGTAATTTGTGCAAACGATGACCACAAAAGATTCACACAGTCGGAACCGCAGAGTAGTGAGCCATAGCTGAAATAGCAGACTTCTGATTGGAGCCTTCTATTTTTGCCGGACGCTGGAACAGAGGGCGGCGCATGGCGCCGCACTGCCGGAGCACGGTCGCAGTAGTGGAATTGCTCTGATTGACTACAACGGGACCGATTTTGCTCCGGCGTTCGTGTCGGAGCGAATTCCACTACCTCCGCTCCGCTCCGACACGAACGCCGGAGCAAAATCAGTCCCGTTGTAGTCAATCAGAGCAATTCCACTACTGCGGCTGTGCTCCGGTAGTGCGGCACCGTGCGCCGCCCTCTGTTCCGGCGTCCGGCAAAAATAGAATCGATCCTATTTTTGCTGGACGCCGGAACACCCCCGCAGTAAATGGACAGAAATCACAACCGCCCAACAGGAAAAGGAGCAAGCACAACTTCCGTTTTTCACAATAAATCGATAAACAAAATGTGCTTTTTGTTTCATATGCACAGGTTTAACAACTTTTAACAACTATCAATGGCGGCTGAAGTTTAAATGCACAAAAGTAAGCCATAAATACAGTTTCTACTATCAAAGTAGTCACACTTTGTTGATCCAAACACTGCTCAACACAAATGATGGGCAGATTAAACAGTTCAAGCCGATGCTTCTCCCACACAACGGGTGTTTGGATCTAACTTCTGCGTTTATTGCTCGGACTGTATCGCAAGATCTCGAAAATCCCGCGCATGCTTGTTTGCCCACCTCAGGTCTCCGCACCGAAGCGGAGCCGTTGTAGAGCGGGTAGCAGTAAAAATTGAGTTCGGAAGCGAGCGGCTGCGGAAGGCGGGGGCGGAGCGGAGGTAGTGGAATTTGGGGGTAAGAGACAACAGCTGCCAGCCTTCCCTAGATGTCGCGACTAGTGCCACAGTAACCGGGTGTCTGCCACAAGCTCATTGAAATGGGTTTTCAGCAGTCGGAGGTTGAAGTTGGTAATGGTATTCATGCTGGTTTTTCAGGTGGAAAATCTTTTTATAAGCTGCGTTTTTTTATAGCTGTTAATATTATGGGTTGTTATTGTTTAGTAATGGTGTTTGTTATTCCGTTTCTGAACGGTCCAAAAAACTGTTTGGTAACTCCACTTGAGGGTTACTTCATCAGTTTTAAATTAGTCCCGATAATACCGTACACCGTGGTAAAATGTTGAGAAAGCTGGACAGTATTAAAATTTGGATACCGCCTAAGTGCCAAGATGTTAGTTCATTTTTTCTAAGTCCCAACAGAGCGGCTGCCAGTCTGAAGTTGCAAGTGGAATATTCTGGCCACAGGGGGCAATAGGGGCTGGGTGGCCTTTCAAGGTCATTTTAGCACATACTAACTTAAGAAAATGATTTAAAAACATTTTAAAAATAGCAAAGTATCCCTTTAATGCACTTAAAGAAAATGTATTTCTTATTTCAATATTCAACTGGTTAAACTTTACTCTCAATTAACAAAATAACCAACATCTATGTCTGACTGAACTCTCATTTAAAACACAGACCCTAACCCTCTATTAAGTCAGACTAAGCATAAAAACAATTACCAGTTCTAAGATGTAGGCCGCATCAAACTATGGTTCAGCCACAGTCCATGCAGTATTTGATTTAAGTCAGCCACTGGACTCAGATCACTTCCTCCACCGCAAGAACCAATGAGCTATAACAAGTCTTTGTACCAACATTTACAGACAGACATCATGATGAACTCTCAAATAAACATCTAACTTGCTAACATGAATGCAAATGCTTTCTTTGTGATGCAAACATCTTAAAAACTATAACTTCTGTAGCAGACTAACAAATAACTATGCTCCATCATTAAGAAAACTAAGAGCATAACTCACACCTGGAGGAAATGGAGGGTTGATTTGACAGTGTCATAGATGATGAGTTTTCACAAAATTATTTCAGACAGTGGTGTTAAAAAACTGGACAACTTTTTTTCTTGATTAGTCCTAGTCAGAGATGTTGAGCTTGTTACTCAGAAAAAAACAGAGATCTGACAAGTGAATTTTATTTGTTATGAGTACCCTATGTGTAGATTTAAAAGCATCACTGTGCACGACAATCTGATTATGACATAAAAAGAGAGGTAGAAACACTGGATATTTTTTACTGCAAATACCAATTTGGATATTGGAATTATCTCAAATAAATATAATAAAAATCAATTTTTTTATTCTAGGGATTCAAAGGAAATTCTAAGGACTCTGAGGATCTGTTATTGTGTGATTTAGCACTTCGTGATGGTGATTCTACTGACCAAAAATCATATTTTTGAGCTTTCAGATCATCCGTTTTTCAATAAGCCAATCATGCTGAATATTTTCTGATAATTAAAAGCCAGTTTCATAGAGCATAAAAATAACAATCTTGAAAAAGCACTTTTGCTAAAGAAGCTTCCAAAAATGTCATATAGCAATAACCCAAAATTATGTTCAATTCAAAACGTGCTATAACAAATGAATGATGGCAGTTAGCAGCATAACTCCTGAAGTCAAAAGATTTTATTTTTAAACTACGTAAATTTTGAACTGTATCCCTAGTAAACAACATCTAAACAAAGGAACATGACAAATACGTTTTAATCTGAAACACAAATTAAATGCTGCAATAAAAATAATAATGAGTCAGTAATAGTTTGTTATAACAGCCAATAGAGAAGTGTGCATCCGCTGACAGCACAATCTAGCAATTTCTGTCTCAGACAGCTGAGGTCAAAATGGGGGATAAGTGCTAAGCCCCTCCTAACAAATGGAAGTTGCATACGCTTGTCTTTGAGCACCCCCACCTTTAGCTAGAGCATTTAAGGGAAAAAGTAACCACGGCTGAAATAGCTAAACAACCTAATTGGGAGGCTGATTGTTATCAACAGCCAGAGTCATAATGCCTCGGAGGGATTAAAATACTGCGGGAGGTTTAGAAAAGGTCTGAAGAAAAAAAAACCTGTTGCCTGCCATCACATCGAGTGATGGACACAAAGACTCGGACCACAGAAGTTCCTGTCGAGTATTAAAACAAAATAAAATACAACACCCAACATGCTATCATCTGCTAAGGTGTTTTATTAAAATAAGTTTATTGATGTCTGAGAGAACCTGAGGTTTAGCTGCGCGCGACGGTTAACGGTAACGGCTAGGTCACTCAGTACAAAAAAGGGATAAGAAGGAAAAACAACACGAAAGTTATTATTGTAAGCACCAGAATCACAAATAACGCTGATATTTTTAGGCACACATAAAGTTGCCCAAGCTGCATTAGTAGATGCAAAAGAGACAGCAAATACACAAACAGTAGCGTTTTAAAAGAGCTGGTCTGTTAGCAGCAGAGACCCCAGGGGAGCTAACTCTGGTCTGGTAATATGCTAATGTTTTGTAACGTTATAGCCCATTGGAGTGAACAAAGAAGTCTTTCCATCACACCGAGAATGCTAAATGCCATGAAATAACACCGCGACCCTCCTCTGACCGAAAACCAAGGAGCCCGCTTTTCCCTGACTGAAGCACCCCGTACAACTTGAAGGCTGCGCTTAAAACTAAGTTATTATCTCGGTATCAACATAAAGAACTTTAGCTTAACGTGCATGCGCCTCGTATTGATTTCTTATTTTCACCTGGATTTAACAATGTAGCATCCAGCAGGAGGAAGAGATAAACGGCAGAAGAGAGGAAAAACAAAGTTGTGGATAGGATCCTTCTCCCGTGGTCCGAACTGTGGGCTTGATGAAGAAAAGGGAAGACAATATGAAATACTCCTCTCTCGCCTCGACGTCTTCGTTACGAAGTAGAAAACACCTCTTTCACAGGAACCATAACTCTTCTGATGGTCTATTTCCTTTCAGTTAGCGAACTGTGATCTTTTCATTTTCCAAGTAGACATTTTAACAGCCTCCACATTGTCGGTTCCAATGGAATATCCCTCCGCGGCACAGCCTACGGGAGGACATGGACGCTCGAACATCAGCGGCGTCCGATTTCAACTGAAGCAAATAAACCGCGCGAAAAAGGCTATAGCAGTTTATCTGAATGTGCGGTGGCTGCAGCAATAACATCAAAATGTCAACGTTATGAAGCCGTGAGCGAGAGGTGAAACGGTCTGGCAAGCGATTTGTGGGGATCTACGTCGACTCGCGGATGAGGACAGCGGAAAGCCCAAATAGACTAACCCAGCAGCGGGTGAAAACGACATTATCGGAAGGAGAGCCAATAGGAGACCACGGAAATTTGATTGACGTGTTCTACATCCAATAATATTCGTGTCAAGCTCAAGGGGCAGTCTCAATTTACCAAAGTTTTTTTTTTTTGCCTTTTTAATTTTGTTCTCAGTACCTGTGTTACAAAAATAAGTATCCATGAGTGGAAAAGGGAGGCGGTTTTCTGTCATGCCAACATCAAACAGAAAGTAATTTTTTAAATTTAGATAATGTCATGGCCACCAATTTAAACTTGACCTGGCAAATTAATACACAGCGTAGAATTAACTACTCATAAAACATTTTTACTGTATCGAAATAATGTGTAATAATTTGCCTAAATTGTGCATTTTGTCAAATATTTTAACATATAGTACATGGCTAAAAACCAACACTGTGGTACTCTGAACATTCAAATAAAGATTCCAGATAGATCTATTTTAAACATACATGCAGTTTTGTGCAAGTATAACTTACAGAAACAGTCTTTTCTACAATGTTTGACTTTTGGATAAACTGCGTGGCGGCAGGGTACCAATGTTTGTTTTGAGTCTTTCTAGAGAAAACCTCAACTGTTTGAAGTGGGGGGAACCAAAGTGACATCTGCGCTGGCCTTTACGAGAAAAACTCAGCTATCCACTCATGGACGTAATTTTCACTTGAGAAGTGGGGGGGGACACGGGGGTGGGGGTGGGGGGGGGGGTCTTTACAGTATGCTCTAATGGGAAACAGGTTTCAACACAAATGGCTGTTTTCTGCTTGGTCTTAGAGCTCAACCAGTGTCAATTTAATATAGCGTAATATTGTTTTTGGATGGTAAAAAGTGCAGGGGTCAAAACTTGATTTTGGAAAAAGTGGGGGGGACATGTCCCCCTTAACCCCCCCCCCCCCCCCAAATTACGTCCATGTATCCACTTTGTGGTTCACAAATATGCAGGCGCACACACAGCATGCATTGCACAAATGCAAACAGGCACATACACCTATGTGATCACTAGAGTAGACCATCGGAGTAGATGTAGGTATCGTTTTTAGAACTTAATTATCACCAGGTTTATTTATATAGACATATTCCATCCATCCATTGTTTGAACCCGCTTGGGGTCGCGCGGGGGGGTGGGGGGGTCTGGTGCCTATCTCCAGCGGTCAATGGGCAATCAGGCGGGGTACACCCTGGACAGAGAGCCAGTCCATCGCAGAGAGACACACAGGACAAACAATCACACACACACACACACACACACACACACACACACACACACACACACACACACACACACACACACACACACACACACACACACACACACTTTAGACAGACCAACCAACCTAACAGTCATGCTTTTGGACTGTGGGAGGAAGCCAGAGTACCTGGAGGGAACCCACACATGCACAGGGAGAACATGCAACAGAAAGATCCCAGGTCGGGAAGCAAACCCAGGACCTTCTTGCTGCAAGGCAACAGTTCTAACCACTGCACCACTATATGAACATATTTTTATTCACAAACTGGTTTTTAGGATTTGTCAATTATGCACTTTGTTTTTCCACACAGCTAACAGGTAATCTGGGCTACCTTATTAGAGCCAGGAAGGGGAAAGCTTGGCTAGGGAGGTTTGCAAAAAGAAGAAAGCAGTCAGTGTGCACATCAACCTCATTATGACAAAACTAGTTTCATGTCACAGATTTAGTGTGACGATCCAACAGTACACCTGGGGAAAGGAGGTGCACATGGAAGCGATCGTATCAATGCTCTGTGCAAAACATCAAAGATAGTTTGGTTTGTTGCCTTTTTAAAAGTAGGACAAGTGAGTCTGGGACTAAACAGCATCAAGATTTATGGCAAAGCGCGAGAGCAAAAATAGATCTATATATAGAGTGGAACTCCATTTTCCTAACCCCAAAGTGTGCACCCTCCTCTCCACCCACACTTTTTTGGGCTCTCTGCTCTTCTAAACACAAGCTCTATATACAAACTTTGTAAATGGGTTACCCCCTTGCAGCCACCCACGCATCAGGTACAGTATCAAAAACTTGGGGCATCCTGTTATGACTTCTGGTTTCCTGTTTCCTGTTAAAAATACCCCCCCCCCCCCCAGCTCTCATTCTCTCACACACAAACAGACTTCACACTCCACGACCCGTCAAAAAAAACAAAAAACAAGCAGAGCAGGGCAGGAATCAGCTTCTAGCACCCCATTGTAAACCTTGTTCCTATTTTCAATCCTACCTCAAGAACAATTCAAAGGATCACTCAGATGTGACGTGTGGTGACATGTTTTCTTCATTTTCAGTCCCAGTAAAAACTCAAATCTGTATTTTCTTGACTTTATGGCAAATTTTAGGAGTTGTTGATATTTAAACCTGCAGCAATGAATACAACACTACAACGGGAGCAGCTGTTTCACCTCATTCTTCACTTTTAATTTGTTTGTATTTCACCTTTACATTTTTTCTCATGCCAAAGAGAAAGATGGACAAGTGCTTCGGGACCATCTGAGTAGCAAAAACCTCAGTAAGGGCTTGTGTGTCAACCGTGAGTCTGTATTTAAAAAACAAATATGACTAAAAAACCCTGAGAAATGATGTGACATACAAAACGCTGTCACTGCACACACCCCACCATGATACCTGAGCATCTCTCACAACCAGCTCACAACAGGGGTCAGCCACATCACTCTTAATGAGCAGAAACCTTTCTGCCTTCCTGCAGAGCCTCTAGCCTGCCATGCTAAATGTTCACTGATAATACTCACACGTTATTAAGTGTTAACTGATGCTGAAGCAAACATTTTCAACTCACTGTTTGATGTCTTCTTTGACAACAAGAATCACATGTTTTAGGTGACATTTTCACTTTTTATATTTGATGCAAAAATGAACCAGCAGCAACATTGTGCACTATTATGTTGTTTATTTGGATCTATAGAGCCGACACACCATAGGCACCTCAGTCATTCCTTTATGTAAGAAAAGAGAAAAACACAATAGCATCCATTTTATTTAGTCATTTTCTGTTCCCCTCCCCCTGTCATGCAGATTGGAATTCATTAGCAATCAGAGCCACTGACGAACACCCAATCTTAATTACATTCTCATTTGCATATTTGCTTATTAATGACTGCAGACTTTGCTGTTTTTCTGCTGCAGTTCTGCCCCACCTCTTCCCACCAATCCCCCTTCTCAGACAATAGCCACAACACACTCTGCAAGACTTTGTTGTTCTTGAAGCTCAAGGTCTCGACCTTCTTGCCTGGATTTCACAGACCTGCAAGTGATGACATTCTGTTGTGACTATTGGCATGACCCACGGAGATCCTCAGAGTAGATTTACTTACAAGAATGACCATTTTGGGGATTATCAGTTGCATGGAACACATTAATAATATTTTTTTCGTGTGTGGTGGTACCACTGTGACATAGACCACAAGAAAAACTTGTTCTAGAAGTCTTGAGGGATTTGTTTCTCATTTGCTGCCCCCTTCTGGTGAAAGCGATTATCTTACCTGCCACGTTTAGCTTTACTTCTCTGCAGCATGCGGTTCTGACGGTCCCACAAGACTTTCATCATTCTGCAGAAGTAATTTGAAGCTTTGTTCAAATATAACAGAAATCACGGTCATTCTTTACTCCTATAAATTTCCAGGACATTTCTCTCATTCAGAAAAACATGAAACCAAAGTAATTTCCTCTGTTTCAAACAGGCAGTTGTTGTACCTATCCTAAAAAACCTGTTTTGACTCCTCTCAGCCTAAAACATTTGCACGTCAGGATGGCACAATCACTATACTAATTTAAATTTAATTTATTTTTAGATCTTGAAAGCCAAAGGAAAATTTCCACCACGGTGGACAATAATGTTTTATTCTATTCTATTCTATTCTATTCTATTCTATTCTATTCTATTCTATTCTATTCTATTCTATTCTATTCTAAAGCATGATTAAAAATCCATTATTTCTGCATTACCTTTTGTTCTTAAAATTGTCACTCCCTCCCTCTCTATGTTCCGTCTAACTATAGCCTTTTCCCAACGCTTGGTCCCGCCTTTATCTTTGGCTTTTAAATGTTTTTATTGTTACTGAAACACTTATTTTATTGTCCACTCTGTGGTCTGTTTTTTCGGCTTGTACTAGCCTATTTTGCTTACCACTTTTGTAACCTCTGCCTTGTATGTACAGCCCGTGTTTTATGAATGGATGGATAAAAATTACAGACCCATTTGCTAATTTTTTCTTTATTTCTAAAATTTTTAGAAAAAGTTGTGATTAACTGATACATTTTTTGGAACTACACAAAATTTTTGAGAAGTTTCAATCAGGTTTCGTAAAAAGCTTTCAACGGAACTGGCTTTGCTTAAAGTTTCATCATGATGGCTGCAGATAACTGGGAGTTTACAATCTTAGGGTTGTTGGATCTTTCTGCAGATTTTGACACTTGATGATTAACAGATTTAGGAACCAAGTGGGGATCTCTGGAGCTGTTCAAGGCTGGTTCAGATCGTACCTTTGTAACAAACATTTTAGTGTCTACAAAAACCAAATCATGTCAGATTTCGCCAGTCTGTTCTGCGGAGTACCCCAAGGCTCTGTTTTGGGTCCACTTCTGTTTTTACTATATATACACCCTCTTGGACAGATAATTAATTATTTCCATAATGTCTTCCATAACCTATATGCAGATGACATGGATTCTGAGCTCCACAAACTGAACTGTCACTAGCTGGTTAGAAGATCACTTCCTTCAGTTAATCTCTGAAAAGACTGAATGTCTGATCATTGCCCCTGCGAGCATGGTTCCCCTGATTAGTCAACAACTTGGTCATTTAACTTCTGTTGTTAAATCAAACTTGATGAATTTGGTTGTTGTTTTTGACCAGTCAATATCTCTAGAAGGCCACTCAAAAACGTTGGTCCAAAAAGTTTTTATCATTTGAGAAATATCTCC